GCCGCCGCCGCCGCCGCCGCCACCACCACCACCACCACCACCACCACCACCACCACCTGGCAAATATAGTTTTCTTAATAGCCAGTTTAAAATCCCATATTCAGGTTCTATTAAAATCTAATGCTGGCTTGTTGATGATGGTGCATGCCTTTAAACCCCCGCACTCAGGAGGTAGAGGCAGGCAGATCTCTCAGTTCAAGACGAGACTAGTCTACAGATCAAATTCCAGGATGGCCAGGTCTACACAGAGAAACGCTGTCTTAAAACACTCCCTCCTCCCCCCCAAAATTATCACTGGTTCGATTTGTTTAGGGTTTATACATTAGGAAATCACCCCCAAACATCCCACACAGCAGTTTCTCTCTGCAGCGAAGGTTGACACCCACCCACCTAGAGGAAATTCACTGCATGCTTTCTGAATGAAGATGGGTGAAGGGGGTTACAGGTAGCTGATCCCTCAGATGAGAGAAGATTTCTGGAGTCCAAGGGAAAGAGTCAGGGAGCAAATGCTGGGGTAGTTCTCTTGTTTTAATGATCACATGGGGCAGGAGGACAGCTGAGGTAGCCAACAGCTGAGATCGGGCAGACAAGAATCCCCATGGCCTTTAACAAGGGGGAAGCCTCACACCCATGGAAGGTGTATCAGGGTGATGTGGATGAGTTCCCAAACTCAGTCCATGCAGGAAACAGAGGTGAGGTGCAGGAAGGTGTACTCTCCCTGCTGCCTTCTTTCCTCGCTGTATTCGGGCAAACCACAGAGAAGGGATTCCAGCGGCCACAGTGACTCTCCTTCCTCACCCCCTGCCGAATGCCCTCTAACAATTACTGCATGCTTGCCTCGGACTCCCCTGGGTTCCTTCTGCTTTTTCTACTGCCACCCAACAGCTATCCATTCTCTGGCTTGTTCTCTGTGAAAGCGCACAATGGGTTTGCTGATGTCAAGATCTTTCCGTCTTATGCCCTATGCTGGACGGGGAGAGAGAGGTGAAGTTAACAGAAACTTTTCACGTCCCTAGGGAAATGTCCTCGCTTGTGGACTACCTTACACAAAAGGACATGGGAGTTAGGAAGCCCTGATTTCATGTATCTAAAGCAAACCATGTGAACTAATTAATACGGTCTATTAGAGTGTGCTCAGGGATCCATTCCTACCTGCTTGGGGATATTTCTGCTCCTTGTTCCTACTCTGGTCTGTTCTAAGAAACAACCATGCATCAGAAAACACCATGAAAAGCCTTCTGTAATGCATCTCTGCTGCGCACATCTTCATCCTAGTATTTATTATAATGAATGATATCATTGTTACAGTCATCCCACCATACATGTAGCAGGGAGAACAAATATCCTAGCAAGGCAGGTCTAGGGACCAAGCAATGAACTTGGTCACACACTTACATGACCTCAAGACTGATGTTGTCTGTCTTAGGATTTCTGTTACTTTAAGAAAACACCAAGGCCAAAGTGAGGGCGCAGAAAGGGTTTATTTCAGCTTACAACTCCCAAGTCACACTCTGTCACTCAGGAAAGTCAGGGCAGGAAGTCAGACCGGGCAGGAACCTGAAGGTGGGAAGTGAAGCGGAAGCCATGGGGGAATGTTACTGAATTGCTCACCATGCTTTTCTCAGCCTGCTTTGTATAGAATCTAAGACCACCTGCATCACTCACAATGAGCTAGGCTTGACCACATCAGTCATCAAATGTACCACAGGCTTGCCTAAAAACCAAATTAGTGGAGGATTGTCGCTATTGAGGTTCCCTCTTCAAAATGACTCTGGACGGTGTCAAGTTTAAATAAAGCTAGCTAGCATAGTGTCCTAAATTGACTTTAATTGTGACAAAGGGAACATAATATGAAATCAACCATTTTGCCCACTTGAAGTGTGTACTTCAGTGCCGTTGAGTACATTCACATTATACAGCTATGACCTGCATCCCCTATCCAGAACTCTGAACCCCGTAAACAACACCTCCTCATCCCTTCTCTGCCCACCTCTCACACTCACCATCAACCTTCCTGTCTATGAATCTGATGCCTCCTCCTACAAATGGAATTGCGTGTGACCTTTTCCCACCGCAGCGCCTTCAAGGTTCACACCTATGTTGTGACCTACGTTCAAATGCTTCTCCTTTTAACGTCATGTTTTACTCCCCCATTCACCCACCAATGGCCTCTTGGGCTGTTCCCACCTTTGGTCTATAAACTCCAATGCATGGATATCTTTGGGTCTCTGATTTCAAGTCTCAGAGCATGTTCTCCAGTGTAATGAGTATATGAGGCAGATGATAACCCGTCTTAACACTCTGAAGAACCGCCTTACAGTTTTCTTAGCCGATGGCGTAGAAAGAATCCAGTTTCTCCATATCCTCACAAACACATATGTTCTGTGGTTTGTTTCGGGTTTTTTTTTTTTTTTTTTTTTTTAAAGATTTATTTATTTATTATGTATACAGTGTTCTGTCTGCACACACCCCTGCAGGCCAGAAGAGGGCACCAGATCTCA